TCCTATCGATAACCCTAATGTTACTTCTACTCTGTTTATTTTTACTTAAATTTAGAAAGATATGCTTCATTTCTACCCTCAATCTTATTGCTACATTTATTTGCTATTTAAAATTGAAATTAAAAAGACAAATGACAAATAAGTTTCTATATTAGCTCACTTATGAGCAAAATATATTATAACAATCTTTACTATTTTTATAACAATACATAAACTATACTCCCTCCGTCCCATATTAGATGGGCACTTCCAACTTTACACGGTGATTAAGAAATCATTAATACATTGGAAGACTTCACCATTTTGCCCTTTGTTTATATCAATGCACATTGAAATGAGTTACAAAAAATACACATACAATATAGGAATGGTCATATTAATTGTAGGGGTAAAATGGAAAAGAATTAATTAATTCTATCCTAATTTAATAAGTGCTCAAATAATATGAAAAATAAAAATTTAGTAAGATTCTCATCTAATATGGGACGGAGAGAATAACAATATAACTTTATTAATGTTGGTCCCGGGCAGCGCCCGGGCTTTCGTTACTAGTATTATTATAAAAAATAATTCAAATGAGTGGTTATAAATAATAATGTCTTTTCAGTTACAATTGACGTAAAAGAGATAATAGTATATCATATCACATATAAAGTTTATGATCAGAAAATAATGTTTTCATGTCACTGAGCATAAAATTTAAAATGAAAGAATTATTTTTAAAAAAAATTATGGTCTAAAATAAGTTATTAATAATTATTTGATTATAAAATATCTTATTAAGGATAAAATGAATATTTAAAAGTTAAATTATTACTAAAAATATAGAAATATATTATTCTTTTCAAGATCAACAAAAAATATATTATATAAATTGAGACACAAAAAATAATAAATATTAAATTATTATTGAATTCTCCAATTTTCTTTTCGAAATAACTTTAAAAGTTCTTGATCTTGATCTCGAAGAGTTTTAATCTAAGAACTTGAATTATGGTCTTGCTCTTTCAAATATGTTTAGACCACTCGAATACTTGTAAGGTTTGTAGAGATTTTATTAGTTTTTAATCACGAGGTCTTTCTGATTTCTCATTATGAATTCTGAAATTTGAGAATTCTAATTTATAATATAGGAGAAGAAAAAAGTTGTGTCGAGAAAAAATAATTCTGACCAATTAAATTAAAATGATATGATGATCATATTTAATTGATTGATCTTTAATTTGATTAGTTACCCCATGTCACGTTCACCCATGATCTATTCTTTATTGCCTTGTTTGCAACAAATTTTAAACATATGGAAAATAAATAAATCACAAAAGTAAAATATGAAGAAACATAATTTTATTCATCAAGATAGCGGTTACAATTCTGTTCCTCCCTTGATTCTCCTCTCCTAAGATTTATCCATGAGTCGGGGGTCATTAGTGGTATATTTCTCAATTTAGGATGATTTAGATTTGACTTCTATATGAATATTCCATGACTTTTGTGGAATATATCGAGGTCTTGATCTCTTTATGGAATTTTTGAGATGTCTTTTAAGAGAATCTAGTACCCTTTATATAGGCATAAACTAGGATTTATGGTTGAGTAGCCTCCAAGAATCTTAATTTGAGTTGAACATAATTAGTAGAGTCCCAACTCGAATTGAACACATCTTGTAGAGTCCCACAAAATTTCAATGTCTACAAATGCCCCTTGCTTCAAGGCTTGTCGGAGTGTAGACTTGATGAAACTCAAAGACGAGGCTTAAAGTACTCATTCTTCCACCTTTGCAACTTTAGATTTTCAGATTTGATTTAAGAGAGAAGAGATGAAGGGCAGATTTGGTCCCACTGGGCGTGCCAATTTGTTTGCAACAAATTTTAAACATATGATGAAAAATAAATGAACCACAAAAATAAAATTTGAAGAAACATAATTTTATTCATCAGCTAGTGGGTACAATTCTATTCCTCCCTTGATTCTCCTCTCCTAAGATTTGTCCATGATTCAATGAATGTTAGTGGCGTATTTCTTGAACTAGGATGATTTAGATTTGACCTCTATAGGAATATTCCATGTCTTTTGTGAAGGTCTTGATCTCTTTATGAATTTTTTGAGATGCCTTTTAAGAGAATTTAGTATCCTTTTGTATAGGCATAAATTAGGGATTAGGGTTGAGTAGCCTCCAAGAATCCTAATTTGAGTTGAACACAATTAGTAGAGTCCCAACTTGAATTGAGCACATCTTGTACGGTACTCCCACAAAATTTCAATATCTACACGCCTCTTTCACTCAATTTAGTATGGCACATCATTTAACATATGACTATTTAATTTATTTCACGTATTATTATTTTTGATACATGATATTACTTGACTTAACTTGACACGTCATTTCACCGCTGACTCATTAATATCTTTCATATATGTTTGTTAAAAACGTTTTCAATACGACTAATATTCATAATTAATTATTTCACGATTATTGTTAGTCAACAAAGCGATGTCATTTTCTTGACAGACGATTTTTTTTCCCTTATCCTTTTGATATATATATTGATTATAGTAGAAGAAAATAGAAATACGCAAACTAAACCA